TGTGAGTAGAAGTATTGATTCATAACTGATGTGACTGCAGGAGCGAGACATGAGGATGAGTCCGGACCCCGAGGAGGTACAGACCCTCTGTGTGTTTGTACGTAGGAAACACAAGTAGTAAACATTCATGTGTGTGTATTACAACCATGTTTTATGTACTTTCTGTAAAAGCTTCTGTCTCACATAAACATGATAATAAATATGAATCAGTCCGTCAGGTGCACAACATCCGGCTGCAACTGCGTGTGTTTCAAACCAGGAAGTGTCCAACTCAGGTCATGTGATCGCTGTGGACACGGCTGGGTCCCTCACGGTACGACACACACACACACACACACATGTTGGTGTCATTACATGTGAGGACATTTCTCTCTATAACTCTACCACCTGAAGTTAAGTCAAAATAATGGTTGAAGAGTAAAGACAGTCTCTGCTGTCCCCTCAATAGTCTCTGTTTTCACAGGTTCACGTCCCCGTAACACAGGTCTTCAAACTATTTTGTGTCCCCACAAAGTAGATGTCCACCAAAGATTTTTGTCCTCACAATGCAGCCAAGTCTAACTCGGACACTTGTTTTCCTCTCTAGATTATTGTCTGAATGTTTCTATAACAACAATAAACACTTTTAGCTTCTAGCACGAACAACATTCAACCATTCCTGCTTCTCTTCAGACTCTGAAGTGTTCGTGAAGAAACTTCAGTTCAGTTTGACAACACAATGTTGGACTTCACCCACCTACTGACACACACACACACACACACAAACAGACACACACACACGCTGCAGATGTGTTCAGTCGCCACAGTGACATGAAGTCAGGTGTCGCTGTCATCACATCACCGAGAGCATCTGGAGAGAGCATCTGCACACACACACACACACACACTCACACACACACACTCACACACACACACGTCATGTTTTTCAGATGGTAAACACACATCTGTTGTATTTCTTTCCTTTAATGTGATTTATGTATATTTATATATATTATTTGTATTTTGTTCTTTATGTGTTTATCTGATCAAGTATCACTTTCATGTACAAAAACACTTTCTTCTACAGAGATAGTGGTTGTGCCATATTTCTGGTGATGCATCAACTCCTCTTCCTCCTCTTCCTCCTCTTCCTCCTCTTCAGCCTTGGCAAAGCTCCAGCTCCGGGCCCAGCCACCCTCCAGCTGCGGCCCAGTGGAGGTGGCCCTCCCTGGGCTGGTGCTGGACCTGAGCTCCCTGGTGCTCTACGGGGCTCAGGCCGTCCCCGTCCGCCTGAAGATCCTCCTGGATCGTCTCTACAGCATCCTGAGCCCAGAACAGGTACACCTGGTCCTCCGGTAGGTTTAGAGCAGCCAATGGGAGGAAAACATCACTAATTAGTCTTATATTATATTTACGTGGTTGCATCGTGATTCTGTTTGTGTAACAGATTACTTTGCTGTCGTCTTCAGGTCGGCCACATTCTGCACACGCTGGGCTGGAGTTTGGGGGATTATGTGAGAGGCTACATGCTGCAGGTAAACACTCACACAGTCTACTACACATTATTACATCAATATCTAGTGGCCGATGATAAAACTAAGCTTCACTTATAGTCAGAGGAATAATAACTGAGACTGACTAGAAAGTCCTCTTTACTGAAAGATGTTGTTTCGCTGTACAACGGTTCAAACTCAAACTTTGGGCAAAAGAATTTGGCTCAAACTGCCCAATTTTGCCGCTTTCACGCGCTGACATCGAGGTTTAATTCAATGTTTCCATCCAGCACCCCAGTGGGAAGGTGTTGGACCGCTGGTTGATGGCGACCCCCGAAGAAGAGCTGCTCGTCCTCAAACAGTTCCTTCGCTTTGGCGAGACGCGCCCCATCGTCGAGTTGATGACGCTCCAGTGCCTGGCAGCTGTCAATCACCTCTCCGAGCTACAGCTAAGCTCCGCCCCGAAGAGCTTCCAATCAAACGTCGGCGCGATGGTCGAGCGGATCGGGGGAACTCCCGGAGTGTTCAGGAACGCAAGAGGAGATTCACGTCTAGTCTACCGTTACAAGAAAAACAGTCTGACTGACCACAAAGACACTGTCCACCATTTTGAAAACGTTCCAGAGGGGCCGTCTTTGCTTCTGCCTTTCCACTTTCCAAGCTCCGCCTTGCACTGTTTGGCTCCTCCCACCAAGGTCATTTTTCCAAGTACACCACTTCGTTCCTAACCTTCCGTGTTCCACAACTAGAAACATTCACAGAGTTTACGATTCTTTGAGGTTTTGTTTTCTCCTCTTTGTTGTTCTTATAGCAGGAGCTCGTTCCTCCCAGTAAGCTAACGCAATGTCTACGGAAGCTCAGTGGGACCAAACTGCCCGAGAGACAGGAAGGAGGAGGAAGAGAGGAAGAGAACGATCCTGTTTTGCTGCAGTCTAAAGTTGAACCGGGTTTAAAAATCAAAGCAGACCCTGACAAGCCAAACACGACCCGTTCCGTGTGGCATCAGGAACCCCGGTTCCTCAACGACCAGGAGCTTGACCTTCACCGGGCCATGGCCAAACAGGAGAACACCTCCTCATTCCCTCCTTCCTTAAGCTCTCCACTTATTCCTACTTCTTCCTCATTCCATCAGCCCACTTCCTCCTCTTCCTCCTCTCCCCCGAAGATTCCCCAGAAGTACCACGGCTCCTCTTCCTTCCCTTTCAAGCCCCTCCCATCCTTCTCCTCCTCCTTCCTCTGTCCTCTTCCCAACTCCTCCTTTTCTTCCTCCCTCCATCCTCCTCTCCCACCCTCACCTTCCTCCCTCTATCCTCTCCCCTCTTCCCTCTGCTCCCTCCCTTCTCTTTCGCCCGCAGGAGGTCGGAAGGGGAGGGTCTGCTGTGGCGTTTGTGGGAAAAGCTTCTATGACAAAGGTAGGAATGTCGTGGTTTCTCCAAGTCTGCTTCACATCCAGCACTTAGAGTGAAGGCAAGTCCCCAAGGTTCAGTTTTAGATACTTATTTGGGGTCTTGAAGTTCCATAGAGATCAATCCGAGGTCCTCTGCTAACCTTGTTCTTGGTGTTCCACAAGGTTCAATTTGAGGTCCTCTTAATTTGTCTTGGGGTCCTAAATGGCTCAATTCAAGGTCCTTTTCTGGTCTTCAGATGTAAACAAAAGAATGTTTACTCTAGAGAAACGAGACCCTAATGGTGTTTAGAAGGAAAGCTCAGCTGTTGGCTGTCATGGTGCATGTCTGGGCTGGATTAGCTCTTCCTGGTAGTCCAGGAACAGAACACATCAACTCAACAAGACCACCATCTCCCGTCTTGGTTGCAGGAACGCTGAAGATCCACTACAACGCCGTCCACTTGAAGATCAAACACCGCTGCACGGTGGCGGGCTGCACCATGGTCTTCAGCTCGCTGCGCAGCCGAAACCGACACAGCACCAACCCGAACCCGCGGCTGCACACCGGCGCCGGCAGAGACGCGCACGCCCACAGAACCCTGCACCCCGATACCCAAATACGCAGAGACGTGCACGACACTCACGCACGTACGTGCAAGGAAAAAGATATCGGTGACACAATTTGGCAACAGGACGAGGACGCACACACACTGACAAACGGGTATACAAACCCCAGACACGCCGACTCCCCTTCTCCTCACCCTCTACACCGGACTCTGATCCAGGACACCAACCAGAACTGCACCTCGAGTGAAGGCTCTGACCTGCACACCCAGACTCCTCCTCCTCCTCCTCCTCCTCCTCTTCCTCCATCCTCACTGGGCTCACCTCCGTCTCTCGTCTCCCTGGTCGTTCCCGAACATCGTCATCACCTTCACACCAACCACTCTGCACCTGCTCCCCTCCTCGGCCACGCCCCCGTCTCCGTCTTAATGGCGAGCTGCGACAGCCGACCCGCGTCACGTGACCACGACGTTGTGGAGGGAAAACGAGAAGAGGCTCGCGCCGCCAGCCCGCCGACCAATCGGCAGCAGCGGCGGTGGGAGTCGGGTGACCCTTTGCCAAAGAAGAAGCCCAGGAAGTCCAGCATGCCGGTGAAGATAGCGAGAGAGAAGGTGGAGAGGAGGAGAGACGAGGAAGAGGAGGAGTGTTGAATGTTGATGAAGATGAGGTGAAGCGTCAGATTGGTTCAGACCTTTGTAGCCTGATTTTAAATCACTGAATCGATGCAAAAGATTTTTTTTTGACAATTCAAAAAAGTCTTTTCTTGAGCATTGTATTTTTATTTGACCAAGAAGTCACCTGATGTAGTTAAATATACAGAATATATATGGTGCAGTTCATGTTGTTGTGAAACGTTGCATGTCTAACAAACAACTCATGTTTAGTCTTATTCGTGATTTTATGACCTGGAGTAAACACGATGCTGTTGGTGTGTGTTCTTTCTCTCAGCAGTCATAAACGTGTGTTTAACAACACGCTGCTCTGTCTCCCCCGTGTGGTTATTGCCTGTTATTGCAATAATTACTGCAATAAGAAGAGACAGAACTTTATCAATCCTGATTACTAATTAAAGTATAAACACATATGAGCAATAGAATAACGGTTATTATGTGTAAAATAAGTTATAGTAAATATAATTCAGGTGAGACTAAAATAGGAAAAATAAAGGACAGCAGCACAGATTGAATACAAGAAGTAAATCTATCACCAGAGCCTCATGGAAACTAAAATAAAACATGATATCGAGCAGTACTGCACATAGTAGGATACAAATAGTACTTCTTCCACCACTGGCCACAGCTCCTGATGTCAGTATTGTTTCCAGACATTTTAGGATTTGAATAACTTAAGAAAGACACATACACACAAATTCTACTTTTATGGCTAATTTCAGATATTCTTCAAAAATAAACTCATTGTTTTACAACCCAACCCTTTTCTAAACTAGTCTTCCTTAGTTGTGACTTGTATTCCTGATAGTTATGTCATTTTGTATCCACATTTAATTATTTAATCTCCATCACAGAAGAGGAAGAGGGAACACGTGGCTCAGGTCTTGGTTTCTACTCGGACGACATTTATGCACGCACTAAAAACCGGAAACGGCTTTAAGCCAGTAAACAATAGTGCCAGGCCCGAAGAAGTCCCTCCATCAGATAATCACACCGTGGTTATAGTTTGAATTAGAAAAACGCGTTTCCGGTTTCAGACTAAAATGTCTAAAGCGGAGACTCTGAGAGGGCTCGTCACGCGGAGACTCGCCGCGGCCTCGCGGGAGATCCTCACGGTCGTGGACAGAATCGTGTCCGGATACGAGGACGAGGCGTCGGGCTTCAGAGACGAGATCCACCGGCAGCAGAAGCAGCTGGAGGTCCTGCAGGAGCAGGTCGCGCTCAGCGCGGCAGGTTGGTCCGAACTCCACTGAGATAGTTAGACATTTAATATTTAAGATCAGATGACATATATATATATATATATATATGTGTATATATATA